TAATTAAAGCAATACAAATTTATAACGATCTTGGGATCCAGTAATTGGATTTTGATGATTTTAGGCTTGTTGGAATCATCTCATTGAGATGAACATTTTGGTAGTAAAATAATCCAAAACAGATTATTAGTTCAAATTTTATTTAATATTAAAGTTTAAATATTTTTTAAATTTTTAAAAAATTTTATAAAATTTTAGCCAATCAAAAGTTATCTACTATTAGGACCTGCTAATTTTTAGACCCCCCCTACCCTAAAAAATCAGGTGATAAATGGCGCTCCCCTTACAATAGTATAGGTAATTTCATATTTAATTCTGGCTCATACTTTGGTTCACTATTTCTTATTAATAACACCTTTTATCAATGTTTTACTCTTAATTTATGGCTATTTTATGAGGTATGTATAATATCTTTTACCAACTTCTACTATCATTTCACTGTTTGAAAGATACATTTTTGCTTTATTAATTTTGAATTGGAAAGAAAAAAAATAAAATAAAGTTTTTGCTAATTATGATAAAATATGTATTTGCTTTATTAATTTTGAATTGGGAAGAAAAAAATGAAGTTCTTGCTAATTATGATAAAAATATATATTTGCTTTATTAATTTTAAGTTGGGAAGGAAAAAATAAAGTTCTTGCTAATTATAATAAAATAGTGTTTGCTTTATTAATTTTGAGTTAGGAAAAAAAAAATTGAAGTTCTTGCTAATTATGATAAAATAGTGTTTACTTTATTAATTTTGAGTTGAGAAAAAAAAATGAAGTTCTCACTAATCACGATAAAATAGTGTTTGCTTTATTAATTTTGAGTTAGAAAAAAAAAAATAAAGTTCTCGCTAATTACAATAAAATATATATTTGCTTTATTAATTTGAGTTAAAAAGAAAAAAAAAAAGAAGTTCTTATTAATTACAATTTTTTTTTTGACTACTACCCTTAAATTTAAAGATTTATATATATATTAATCAAAATAAACTTTGCATGTATTAGCATGTCCGATTATTGTATTATATTAGCCTTTGCATAGTACTCTGATTAGTATCAACTAATTAGCTAAAGCTAATACTATTTTGTAAAATAATAATTTTTATGGCTTATATAGTAAATTTTTTTTTAAACCTTGCTCATAACAAGCAAATTGGCAAATAATAATTTTATTGAAAAGTTTTTATTAATTTGGTGTCATATATAAATATTGTCAGAGATGCTTCTAAGGCAAGTTGGTAAGGCTATATATGTTACACCTCAAACTAATACTTGTCTCAGATATCAATCAGTCTAAGTTAAGATACAAGCATTAATCTGAGACACATGCATTTGAATCTTATGATATATATATCATTAGGAAGTTTTTAAGATGTGTATAATATATTATTCAATATTTCTTGCATTGTACAACAATTTTTATTAAGAAAAAACTAAAACAAACAAAATTGCAATTTTGTTTGTTTTAGTTTTTTCTTAATAAAAATTGTTATACAATACATGAAATATAGGATATTGTTAAACAATGCATTATACACACCTTTAAAAACTTCCTGATAATATTTAGATGAAAATTCTATAGCTTTAAAATTAATAATATTAAATAATTAAAAAAAATAATTAAAATAAAATTAAATATAATATTAATAATTAAATAATAATAATATTATTAATAATTAACTAAAAATAATAATTTTAAAAAAATAATTATTGCAGTTTTTGAAATAGTTGAAAATAAGTAAAAAAAAATTTTTTTTTACTCATTTCTACTATTTCAAAAACCATGATAAATAATAATAATAATAATAATAAAATTTAATACTAATAATTTTTTTATATATTATTATATTTAAAATGTTAATTAACAGATAATTGTACTTTACTATGCAACACTATTGTCCACATTGTTCAAAATATTTTGTATATCTTTCTTCTTTGTGAAACTATATAAAAACACATGATATCAATATTATTGAGACAGCTTTACAGAAAATTGAAAATGAAAGAAAGAGAAATGCTATACAGTATAATAAAAGCGATAAAGAACCAGAATTTTAATTATTAAGTGGTAAAGAACCAGAATTTCAATTATTAAGTGATAAAGAATCAGAATTTCAATTATTAAGTAATGAAGAACCAGAATTTCAATTGTTGAGCAATAAAGAATCAGAATTTCAATTATTGAGCAATAAAGAACTAGAATTTTAATTATTAATTGATAGGGAACAAGTACTTCAAGAATTAAGTGACAAAAAACAAGAAAAATGACAAAAAAAAGCAATTATGGTATAAAAAAATAGATTATAATGATGAAACTAATGTGGTTAGTATGCATAAAGTATTAGTTGCACTGCAGGTTTAAAAATATTTAGCTCTGTATAATCCTACATAATGTATATAATACTGTAATATTTTTATATATATATATTTATTTTAGAAAATTAATAAAACAAAAATCTCTGCACCAAGAACCAACAACTCATATCCTTCAATTTAACCATACCAACATACACAACCCCAACTTTATTATTCAGTGGA